GAGGTTTACAATCCAGCAAAAATCCTGTGAAAATCCTTCGATCCAAAGAAGGCCTGAGACTACAACCGAGCAAAACACTGAGAGTAGAGCTCCCGATAAAAACAATGAGAGCAAAGCTGCTAAGGGAAACACTCAAAGTACAGCCTCTGAGCAAAACCTGAAGAGCAGAGTGCCCGAGCAAAACACTCAGAGCAGAACCCTGAGGGAAAGTTCATCTTCAAGAAGGGAAAGTTCAAACATCTCAAGTATGTTCGTGTTGAGGATTCCAGAATGATCGACATCATGTTTGAAAGTGGAGCGGCTCCTGAGCTCAAGAAGATTGCCTTGTCCTTGACCAACGAAAAGTCCCAGCTCGATGGGGTTGGTGGCCTTAAAAAATTGAAAGAGATTGAATTGAAGGGTGGAAAATTCCTTCTTTCATCATTTCACAATGCCAATCAAATTTCCAAGGTGACTCTTCGTGATACTCAACTGAAGCAGGAAGATATACGGATCCTTGCTAAGAAAAAAAAACCTACGCTGCCTAGAGCTCTCAGACTTGTCTTACGCCGAAAGCAAGCTAGCCTTCAACAAAGATGAGTTCCCAGCACTTGACCTTCTTACTGTTGAGTGCCGTGCCATCAGCAGCATCAGCTTCACCGATGGGTCTGCTCCTAAGATCGAAAGGATTGTTTGGTCCTTCGACGAGATGAAGTCTCTCTCTGGCATTGACAAACTTCTGAGGTTGAAGGAGATTGAGTGCACTGGTAACCATGTCCCTCATCAAGTGAGAAAAGACATTGCAGCACATAAAGCGCAACCTGTTCTTACACACAAGAAGCGACCACAACAAGTCCCAGCGAAAGAAACAATCACAGCAGAAGAGGATGATGATGCATGGTTTCCACCAATCCCCCGCTGCTTGAAGATCAAGAATCGACACTAGCTGGCTGAGGGAAGGCTTGCAAGGATTTCACTCTCCATCCTCGATCCGCATCTCCATCCAATATCCATTCATCACTGCTTCCCAGAACTGCTGGCCTGTTTGTCATGCTGTCCATATGCGTGCCTGTCATGGTATCACCTTTAATCCCCCGTGCTTGTGTGCATGTTTGTTTATTAATTTCCTGCAAAGTTGTGTGTATGCTCGTGTCTGTTGCGTATGTGTTTTCCTTTGGTTCATTCTGCGCGGCGGAATATTGTTGTTAGGATGAACCACAAATATGTCAGATAATAGTTGTCAAGCTATTTCGTCATTATGTACTTGTAAGGGTTGATGTAAGTATGCTACCCATATGCGTACCCTGGGAAGAACAAACTATCATGAACTGTGTATATTTACCTATACTAAGTGTGTCAGGATGTTATTCACCATTTCAGCATTCTGCATTCTTATATTGCAGTCAGGAACATATGTTGTGTTTGTGCTTCTCCTAGCAATTTGTTCTTAATTCGTTAGGGCTCCATGATACAAAGATATATGAATCGATATACGGAGTTTACAAACTTAGTACCAGCAAATGGGTGTTCCATTTTGATCAGCTACGGAGTTTTGGAACCGACAAGGGATGCGAATGGAATGTTCTGATCGGCCCGGTGGTCTACTATTGGAGTTCATTACAGCGCTTATACTTGAGCCAGTGTGCAAACACTGCACGTATGATACTCCCTCCGCCCGCTTTGCGCTACTCCCAAGGACTCGAACCACATCTTCTTCTCGTGTGTGTCCGCGCAATTTGTTTGGAGCTGCTTTCGCGAGGCGGTGGGCGGAAATTGGTGCCACAGCAACTTCCCCGACCTATATTCAGAACTCCAGTCCTCCCCCTTGGCGTCTCGCCACATTAGGTGGCTTGAGATTGGGGTCATTGCTTGGACCCTCTGGACGATCCGCAATAAGCTTGTGATCCAGCGCGTTCCTCTTCGGCGGGCTACTGACGCTATCTTCAAACTCTCTGATTTCTTGCAGCTTTGGTGGCCGCTTAGCCGCCCTGAGGACCGTGACGCCATCTCTGCCTTCATCGCCGACCTTCGCTCGATGGCCGTCCGTCTGTCTCTGCCGCCCCCGCCACCTCCGCCGGAGCCCGGTTAGTCGCATGTGTGGCTCCTTGGTTCCTATGCTGTTTTTCTTTTTGTTTCTTTGGGCTTGTTAAGCTGTGCCCTCAGCAGAATCTTCGTACTTGTGTGTGAGACTTGGGTGCGTGTGTTTAAACTAGTCCTTGTATGTGTGCTCTTTAACGGTTTGCTTTATTTATAAAGTGGGACGAAAGCCTTTTTTGGTATGATACTCCCTCCGTTCCAAAATAAGTGTCTCAACTTTGTACTAACTTTAGTATAAATTTACACTAAGTTTGAGACACTTATTTTGAGACGGAAGAAGTATTTACCTTCTCAAAATTCTGCAATTGATGTGCTAATTCTGCAATCAGCACTGGTATGGTTGTGCTCCTCCATACAATCTGTGGTTGAGAATCTATCTTAGTTTGATGATTACAAATTATTGCTAGAGATTATAAGTATGTCTTGCTCTGAATGCCTGAATCCGCCGTGCTGTCGACCACAACTCCGCTGTGTTTGTTTAGTGTATGATATATAATATCGTTGTAAGACTGCAACTGTTGTACCAGTACCTCATGGAATCTTCAAAAATATATTTGAATGCAGCGCTAATATTGCAGCAGTAGGTGGCTGCGTTTGTGCTTCTCCTAACAATTTGTGATCTGGGAACGAACTGAACCGTTGGTGTCATCAGTCACGGTGCTTAGATTTGTTTTATATCTATACAAAATAATAAATGAACTATTGCTTCTGGTGTTACTTCAGGAAAATTGCCCCAAAATTTGCAAAATATTATCCATCAATGCCACTTGTAAGTGATAAAAACGTTTCACACAGGCGAATCCCCCTATGCTGCGCTCTGGCGCTGGGACAAGATGCAGTGCGCCCGTTTGGGCCCGCCCATGCTCGGCGGACTATTTTTAAGTTTCTTTTTTATTTTCGTTTTTTCACCTTTAAATAATTCGGGACCACAAAAAAGTTCCGAATTTTTTTAAAAAATTATAATTTAAAAAAAATGTTCACAATTTTGTTAAAAACTGTTTGCTTATTCAAAATAATGTTCAAAATTTTGAAAACAATTTTTTAGGAAATCAAAATATGTTCACATTTTTTAAAATTTCGTGTATTAAAAAGTGTTAATGAAATTGAACAAAATTTCTCCAATTCAAAAAATATTCATGAATGGAGAAATATCCTAAAAATTCAAAAACTGTCCGTGACTTACAAAATAGTTTATTCATGCATAAAATGTTCACTGATTCAGAAAATGATCATGCATTTTAAAAAATGTTCGTTAAATCAAAACATTGTTCGTGAATTTCAAATTTTGGTCCACAAATTTCCAAAAAAATGTTCGCCGATTAAAGAAAATTGTTTTAAAAAATGTTTGCAAATAGTATAAAATGTTCATGAATTCAGATAATGTTCTTTATTTTAGAAAATGTTCTTTATTTTAGAAAATTTTGAAAATTTGTAAGTGTTCATGAATTTTGAAAAATGTTCATGATTTCAAATATGTGCACGAGTTTAAAAAAATGTTTATGATTTCACAAAATTGAGAGTGATAGTGTATCTCGGTGGTGCGGCAAAATATGGTCATAGCCGTTGGAGATTATGATTTTTTTTCTCGTTGCAGTGCACTGACCGTTTTGCTAGTATCTAATAAAACTGGAGCTAAGTTTTTTTGTTTGTGGGAAATGTAGGTAGCATGTTTAATCGCTAACCGCCTGATGACAGGGAGCATGGTTGATTACGAAGAGATATTAATCAAATCTCAGGTTGTGGAAGCAAGTGATGATTATGTTTCTTCCCATTAAAGTAGAGGTCCCTGTGGGGCTGTACTAGTAAATTAGTACTCCCTCTGTTCACTTTTATAAGGCTTTGGAGACATTTCAGACAAAGTACAAATTAGCTCATTTTCAGTTGTTTGAAATGACTTATAAAGGTGAACGGAGGGAGTACTTCCTCCGTAAAGAAATATAAGAGCGTTAGTGATCGAAACACTTTTATATTTCTTTACGATGGAGTATCAAACAGACTATCATAATATGTAAACTGTACAATTTAGACTTCAGGTATGCGATTACAATTTGAACTGCCAAAACATATTATATTTAGGAACAAAGGTAGTACACGTTGACAGACTCAACATGGTCTGTGACCAGTTTCTTCTGTGCCTTCATCAATTTAACATTTTTTTTGCGGGGCCATCAATTTAACATTGGTATTGGTACTATGGAAACTAGATGGTGTGATCGATTACACACGGATGGCATGAAAGGGGTGTTGATACCCTTATAAAAGGGCTTCAATTCTAGAGGATTGACTAATTTGTTGCTACGGGACATGTTTGAATGATTCAATAGCACTGCATTTTCGTGCCAAGTATATGCAAGATGAGACATTAGAAGAATAGTGAATAAGCACGGCTGTGAACTGCTCCATGTATTTCTATGGAGATCACCTCATGGTAGCGCTATATGTCTTGGCGAACCACCAACCCAACCACGATGTAGCCACCATCACTCATCGTGTTTCACAATGGTAGCTGGTAACACCCAGACGTACACCATGAATATATGATCTCCATATTAATCAACACTCAAGGTCGGTCCTGGCATTCCAGAGGCCCTTGTGCGAACTGAGAAAATGGGCCCTTAAACTATATAATAGACAAAAAAACTTCAATGTACAGAGAAAAGTCATTATAAAAGCAAGCGTCAATTTCATTAGCAAATATGGTCTTAATACACCACGGTCCACGGATATATCAAATGATTACAAGATTAGGATACACGCTCCAACAACCCACAAGTCTTGTATGAACTCTTAACTAAATTGTTCTCAATTCTTGATCCAACACGACAGAAGCTACAACTCCAGCTCTACCAGTCCATCCACAAATGTGCATCACCAAACATCAGGAGCCACCTGAAAAATACACAAAAAAGAAGTGAATGGCATACTCAAGAGAAGCGACACCTTCGAGCATTTTTAGAGGCAAAATCACTAATAATAGTGTCAAGATCAATGTTGTCCAACATATCTTTCTCAATACAGCACATGACCAAGCCATTCAATCTCTCTTGTGACATAGTTGATCTCAAATAGTTCTTTAGTAATTTTAGTTTTGAAAAACTTCTTTCAGCAGATGCTACAGTAACAGTAACAGTTAAGAGGATTCGATAAGCAATGGACACATTTTGATAGCAATCTGCAGCTCTAACAAAATCAAAAATCTCATCTGCTGACATTAATCTATTTGGTAAAGTCATTTGAAGCACTCTTAATTCAGAACAGAAATCATCTAAATTAACATCTGACGAGCTAACATGAGAATACGTATTTGAAAATTTAGTGCAACATTCTCTAAGTTCTTTATCATCCAAAGACTTCAATTTTTCGGAGTTGAACAAGAAACCAAATATACTTTCAAATGACTTCAAATCCTCAAATCTTTTGGTTAGTGAAGCAATCGCTACATCTATCATGACTAGAAAATATTTAACTCTAAAGGACTCCTCCTCAGCTGCTTGCGCTTCTGCATTTATTACATTTTCTTCATCGTCATTATTTTCATCAAAATGTATTTTTCTCATAACACGACGTTTTGTCAGAAATCTAGGTTCAATATCCATGGCAGATGCAATAGATTTTGCAATATTTAAACTAGATGTAGAGCCATCAGTTCTGTACTTCTGAAAAAAAAGATTGCACCTTCAATTTGCTTAAGGGTAATGTCAATGCAAACAAATTTAGACTGCAACTTCTTACTTATAGTGTTTATGGTAAATAAAACGTCATGCCAAATGATCATACCAAGTAAAAAGTTCAAAATTCTTAAGTGCAGTAACCAAAGAATGTGCATCGCTCTTAGTTTTTGGGTCATCACTAGAAGTTCTTTCCAATTCCAATAAAGCTAACAATATCTGAGGAGCTTCATACCGAATAGCTTGGACACTTTTTATTCGACTCTCCCAGCAAGTATCACACAAAGGTTTCAAAGTTAGATCCTTAACTTTATTAACCAATAGCTCCCATCTTTTAGTAGAACCGAAAAACAATGTATAAATTCGTTGCACAACTCCGAAGAAGGTAATAGCTTTGCTACATGATTTTGCCATGTCACAAAGTGTAAGATTGAGGCTATGACAGGAACATGGCATGTACAATGCTCTAGGATTTATTTCAAGCAAACGTGTTTTAGCACCTTGATGTTTTCCTTTCTTAGAACCATTATCGTAGCCTTGACCTCTAACATCATTAACATTCAAATCAAGAGATTTAAGGGCACCTACTAACTCATTGAAGAGTCCTAGTCCAGATGTATCATCCACCTTCAAGAACTACAGAAAATACTCTTCTATTTTTGTAGTGTTACTTGACATGTTTACACACCTCACAATTAGAGTCATTTGTTCTTGATGGCTTACATCAGGGGTACAATCTAGAATTACAGAGAAATATTTGGCATCCTTAATTATCCTTATGATAGTGTTTTTAACACCTTGTGCAAAAATATCAATCAGCTCATTTTGAATCTTATGGCCAAGATAGTGATGATGAATTTCACTATTTTGAATACGCCTAGTATGGTCCTGCATTATAGGATCAAATTCTGCCATCATTTCTATTATTCCCAAAAAGTTACCATTGTTATATTGATAAAGTTTCTCATTCGATCCTCGAAAAGCCAAATTATGTTTAGCAAGAAACTTCACAGTAGCAACAATTCTTATTAAAACTTGTCTCCATCGCCCTTTTTCTTTTGCAATTTCTTGCTGCAATTCTTTGTCAATTGTTTGATTTTTATTTAGTCTCAGCCTTACCCCATTCCAAGTATTCATGTTAGTGATATGCTCAATACTATTCTCATGAACTTTGAGCCTCTGGCTAAGATGTTGCCAATCACTTAGTCCCTGGGATGCTAACGTACTTTTGTTACCTTCCGATTTAAACAATTTGTAGCAAAAACAGTAAACTTTATTCGCATCCTTAGAGTACACCAACCATTTCCTATCACTAACCTCCCCATTACTTAGATTTCTTGAGTAGTAGGCATTTGAAAAATGTCTACCGTTATCATCTGGATGATACACAAGATTTAAATCCCTTGTAGGCCCTTTCTCTATTAGAATGTCTCTTGATTTATTGTCAAGAATTTCCCAAGTTCTAGGGTCATAAATATCTAAACTAGAAGATTTGTGTTCATCTTCTTTAGGATTTTCAGTATCAGAAACATTCTCATGGCCACCCAAATTTGTAGAATCGTCGATGTCAACATTTTCCTCCACTAAGTTTGCATCAGATTGTTCTTCTTCAACACTATGAACAACTAATACATCTGGATTCTCGGCAGTGGATTTTTGTAAAACGAATTTACGAATAGCACCCTTTGAGTTCCAATGAATACATCTACAAGTTTCTTCTTTTTCCTTTTCGCACAACCAGATAAATGCTTTTTCGGCAACATGGTTACAGAAAAATGGAGAGATAACACCTGAAATCTTGTCTTCTTGAATCCTGTTCTTGGTCTCTTGGAGTAAATATAAGAAATCCCAGTATCCACCGCTGCTCTACACTGCTCTAGATTGCCATGGCCGGTTCTAGAATCAAGCAGGTTAAACATCAGCACATGAATCCATCATAAATAGAAAATAGACAAGGGGAAAAATTGAGATGCAAAAAGGGGGGGAATTGAGATGCAAAAAATTAGGAGGACGTGCCTGGACTCCACGTCTCCACTCTCCACCGCCGGACAGTCGGATCCTGACCGGCTCGCCTCTGTGGATTCGTGTTCCTGCCAGGGCACAGGGTGTGTCGCCGCTGGCCGGCTCGCCTCCGTGGATCCGTTCGCCGGTGCCCTTGGGGTATTTGTAAGATGCAAAGAAACCCAAGTGTGATACTAACGGAAAATTCATTAATTAGCTTGGGTAGTTTGGCTCGTGGCCTCTTAGGAACTCGGGCAAGGGGCAATGAATTGGATTTGGGGAAGAGGAAGAAGATGAGAATGGGAAGGAGTCGAGCCAGAGTTAAGGAGACGACTGGTTTGCGGCTGGCGGCGTGTTTTTGGGGGACTGGGAGAGACGGCGTGGCTGCTCGCTTCTTCATGGGCTGGGCTATTTCGCTTGCGTACTAGTACTATTTTTTTGAATATACTGTACATACTATACATGCACAGGGTATGGGCCCCTACTCGGGCTGGGCCCTAGGCCATCGCACTCGCCGCCATGGCCCATATCTACTCAAGACAATGGCCGAGC